CACACACTCAAATGGAATATAGTAGGAACCATGGGGAGCATTGTCAAAATGAAAAATTTTGGGAAAATAACAATAGTATTTCAACTTGCTCTCCACCGGATCAAGGTATTCCAATGCGAGATCAAAATCATGGCCACTTTCTTTTAGAAGATTCAAGCCAAGTCCATTGCGAAGCCCAAGAGGTTGTTGTAGGAAATCAATCAAATAAAGGAAATTTAGATCCGACTATTGAGCAAGGATATTCTCCTCAAAATGAGTCCACTCAACCTCCAATTATGTCTAGTTTTTCAAATATGTCAGTTATTCGTGATTATTTGTTTATTGACTTGCCTTTTGAAGATATTGCAGGTACCTCAAACTTGAGAATGAATGAAATTGTGAATCACTTAGAAAAAACTCAAGCTCCAAGCATTGAAAATCAAACCTCAGTACACACTGAGTCAATTAGGAACCTAAATCCAGCCATATCTTTGTCTCTAAATCAAGGCAACAACCATTCGATGACCACAAGACTAAAATCAAGGCAGCAAGCTACCACTAATGAAAGCCAACAACAATTGGCAACTTTTTTAACTACTAAAACACCAAGTGAACCTAAACCAAAAGGTTTTTGAAATGCTCTCAAAAGTCCAATTTGGAAAAAGGCCATGGGAGAGGAACTCCAAGCTCTTAGTGATAACAAAACATGAGAACTTGTCCCTAGACCCTCAAACACAAATATTGTAAGATCCAAATGTAGCTTTAAGATCAAACTCAAGGAGGATGGATCAATTGAAAGATACAAAGCGAGACTAGTAGCCCAAGGCTACTCCCAAGTTGAAGGGGTAGACTACGAAGAGACCTTTAGTCTAGTTATCAAACCTACAACAATTCACCTGGTTCTTGCCCTTGTCGTCTCCTACAATTGGCCTTTCAAACAACTAGACATAAAAAATGCCTTCCTCCATGGACATTTGAAAGAAGAGGTATACATGTCTCAACCTCCTGGGTTTACTCATCCTAACTTCCCTAACTATGTTTGCATGTTGAAAAAGTCTCTATATGAACTCAAGCAAGCCCCAAGAATATGGTTTGACATACTCTCTCTATATCTTCTACATATGAGGTTCGTATGTAGTAAAGCTGATCCCTCTCTATTTATATATAAGCGAAGTAGTATACTGATCTTGACGCTCATATATGTAGATGATATTATCCTTACTGGAAATAACATTGTTATTGTTGAGAACTTAGTTGCAAGTCTAAGTACTGAGTTTGCTGTGAAGGATCTAGGTGCTTTACACTATTTTTAAGCATTGATGTACAAAGTACTTCAAATGGATATTACATTGCTCAAACTAAATACACCAAAGACATTTTGGTGAAAGCAAAAATGTTGGCTTCGTCTATCGCAACTCCTATGGCCACAAGTCCAAACAATAATCCTAAAGATGATGAGGTAGTTTATCCTACCCACTATAGAAGTCTAGTTGGGTCTCTCTAGTACCTCAACTTGACAATACTAGATATTGTATACTCCGTTAACAGAGCTTGTCAACATATGCAAGAACCTCGGATGAAAAACCTAAGGGAAGTCAAATGCATTCTTCGATATCTTAAATATACAATGTATTACGGAATCACATTCCATAAGAATATAGCTCACTAAATCTCTATGCCTTTTGTGATGCAGATTGGGGTGGTTGTCCAAAAATCACACAAAGAAGTACGCCTAGATTTTGTGTGTTTCTTGGATCTAATATAATCTCGTGGTCCTCAAAGAAGCAATCAACTATTTCGCGCTCAAGTACAGAAGCTGAATATAGAGCCATGACCAATGCAACAGTAGAAATCACGTGGATAACATTTCTACTTAAAGACATGGAGACTCCTCTACATAAATCCTATAACTTTTTTGTGACAACATGAGTGTACTTCAAATGTCCATCAACCCAGTTTTTCATGCAAAAACCAAACACGTCGAGCTTGATTATCGCTTCGTTCGGAAAAGGTTGCTCTTGGTTCATTGATCACTCGTTATGTGCCTTCACACAATAACCTTGCCGGCATTCTAACAAAGCCACTCTCTAAAGCAGTGTATCGTGAATATACTTGCAAACTTGGCATTTGGGCTGGCCCTTCCTCCAGTTTGAGAATGGATGTCAAAAATGAAAAGAGAATGCTCAACTCAAGCCCAAATAACTCCTCACGTGACAATTCAAAAGAACAATCAAATATCAACAAATCTCCACACAACAGCAAGACAAATTGATATAGATTTGATGCATTAGCAACAAACACAGTTTGGTGATTCAATGACAGCTCATTCTTTGATTTGGTGATTCATCATAATATCACTCTAGCAAATATTCAGGGCCAATCTTCACCTTGATTCGAGTGATCTTTCCCAATAAAATCATCTAATTGATGATTTTGTTTCCTTCTATTTAATTTTTTATTTCATTCTTTTTCATCAGCCATTTATGGTTGTTATTTTTCTTCTCCTTCCTTACGGGTGTTTTCTATTTAAAATCAGACCTTGTAAGTCATTGTAGATTGAGACGACCGTTTGAGTAAGATTGTGAATAATCATTTTGTCCTCTATTGAATCGTAATTGTGAATAATCATTTTGTCCTCTATTGAATCTTCTCTCATTCTCTTGAAGCTATTCCGTGAGGTTTATCCTTTTTCTTGGGATGACCTCTCTCTTGGAAGCTCATCCTTGAGGTCGAGGAGAGGTATCTCGTGGCAACTCATCCTTTTGGCTAAGGAGAGATATTTCTTTGCGATCTTTCCCTATGTAGTCTGCTTGTTTGTTGGAAATGATTGGATTTAGCCATTTGATTATAGAGAAAACGAATGACTTTAATCGCATTCCCATAGATGGTGCTGGTTGATAGAATAAGGCGTGCAAATGATAACATGCACAAAGAGAGTAGACACTCCGACGCTCAAGTTAGTCTCAATTCGAGGTATCGCTCTTAAGGCGAGCTGATCAGAATTGCATGTCTGTATAAGGAGTGAGACCTAAGTACTTATAGGCATTTAAGAATGGATCCCACTTAGTTAGCCACTTAACACGACACGTGAATCACAGAGTGGGTTCGACGATAATGGCGAGATGTGAGTCGAATAGTGGTTGAAAAGTGATTATGGGTGGTGATATCGTGTAGCTTGGATCAGATTAGAAGATGATCGAGCTATATCTTTAGTAGCCCTGAGCTATATCCTTGGCAGATCTGTATTCTTGACAGAGCTATATCCGTGATAGAGATATCATCGGCAAAACTATATCCTCGCCAAGCTATAAATTAATCCCAAGGTATTACTCTTCAGAAAACACGTATCTGTTATAAATTTAGGTTGTTTTCAATTTATTAATCAATTTAGAGTTTTATTATGTTAAATGGTTTATTTGACTAATATCTATTGTGCTAAATTAATTTGCTTAATATTCTTGCTACCAGTTTTAATTAATTATGTTAGATAACTAGTTGTTGGGCCAAAAACAAAAGGTGAGCCATCTCACCTATTTTTCCCTTTTATAGCTTTACCAATTTACCTTTTGCTATTTTTTTATTTTTTATCTGATGCTTATTTGTGTGTTAAGTGGCCATATATATATATATAGAACATTATGATTTTTTTTAGGGAGATAAAACCTTAGGCACCACACCTCTCAAGAAAGTCTTGAGAGAGAGAGGAGTCTTCCCTGCCACCTCGTTTCTGTTGCCGTCATTTAGGAGTGTTTCAGTTGTCGCCATCATAGGAGCAGCGGCTGCAAACCGTGGGTATGTAATTCCAGCGTGGAAGAGCGCAATTTCAGTTCGGGTGTTGTGTTAAGGATCCCACATTAAAAAGATAGAGGACCTAACAAGGGTTTATAATATAAGTAGGTTACTCTTCTCATTACTAGTTGGTTTTGAGATGAAACTCATGCATATTTAATATGGTATCAGAGCCTAAAAGCTCAAACGAGCCTCCGGTCCAAAAAAAATTTGCCAATTGATTTTGAAATGAAACCCATAAATATTTAATATGTCGTTTTAATCACTTACAAACATTATGTTGTATTGTAGGTGTATACATGGATCCTTCAATATTTGGATTGTTCTTGGGTTAATAAGAGTACGTGAGACTTCACACTCTTTCAATGGTCAACTCTTCTTATTGGTCCACATATGTCACACCATTTTTCATCATCTAACATAGTGGATGGCCTTGATTGAAGGTAGATTTATGGATTGAACTACAATGAATTCTGATGGTCCTCTCTTCTTGCTCCCTTTTACTGATTTTTACTTTTTTTGGCTACTTAGCTTAAGTCTGCGTGTTAAAGTTCAACATCTGAGTTGTTCATAAGTATGATTAATGTTTGGATAATTTCTGTGGCATTTGGGAAATCTAAAATAACAATGTGTCTAACACCCTTGAATCTACCTCTTATTCAAGACATGAACCTACTCGTATTGCTTATGTCATTTCCACCAATTTAATCCTTTTCGAAATTAAAAGAAGTTAGCACCCCATCCTAAATTGATCATTCTTAAGAATTAATACAATATTAATTAGCACACATAAGCAAATGACACCATTTAAGCATTCATATAACAAAAGGGTCCCAAAATAGAGTAGGGTTCGATAAATTCCACCCTAAAAAATTAGTTCATACTATAAAAAATAATAATAATAATAATAATGAATACGCAAGACCATAGAATAAACCTCTCAAATTTCATCAATTTCAGCAAAAAAAAAATTAGCCATAAATTTCGTCTCTATAAAGCTTAATCAACATTATACTATACCTCTACATGTAACGTATCGAACATGATAGCGCGATCAAAAATTTAATAAAAGATAAAAATGGTTATCTAAATCTAGTGTCCAATTCCATGAAATTGAAAATGAAAAGCAATAGTTAACTCATTCATGGGTAAATATTGAATTATTTAAAAACACACAAACATATATAGGTGATATTGTATAAATAATATTTAAGACAAAAGTAAACCTCAAAAGCTGCAAATTTCATATTCCTATTGGTCCACGTAGGCACAAAAATCATACACAGAATACACATCATCAGCATTAGTGTCATTATATATGTATATATTATCTATAATTTGAAACACAGCTGCAAATCAAATCACACTGTTCATCATGAACATTGGTCACTAAGTAAAATTAATTAATCTTTAGAAAATGATGGGCATATTTTATTTTAATCTCTTCTGTGATCTCAATGATTTTCTAAATTTTAATTAAAACAAACATTTGTCCCATCATTATGACCTCCAAAAGTAGCTGCCAACATCATCATCACCTGTGAAATGAAATCAAAGAATAGAATCTGTCATTACCTGTCAAATTATTAAATATGGAATTACAAACTTTTTGTCAACTTTTTAGAAAACATTTGAAAGAAAAATTACAAACGTTTGTCCCTAATTCGGTTTCTAAATTTCTACCAAGTCACTAGAGTTTGATTTCAGTTATTTCGTTTTTTATTTTATATTCTCAAAAATTAAGTTTAACAATGTTACTTTCATCTATATACATACTCGTTGTTACACAATTTCTATCAACAATTTCATAATCAGATTTTGAAAACAAAAAGAAATAGTTTTCAAAAAATTTATCTTTGTTTTTGAAATTTAACTAAGAATGTAAATATGCTTTTGAAGTGAACAACTTAACAAAATCGTAATAGTTTTTAAAAATAGAATACTAAAACCGAAATAGTTATTTGACTGTACTTAAATATCATATCACGAAAGTTTATTATTAGTCAATTCTACCGCTAAAATGTAAATATTAGAGACTAGCGATTTTTTTCTTAAATCGAGAGAGACCGAGAGAGATACCCAAGATGAAGCATCTTCTTGTCTTGGTGTGAGAAAGTGACAGCTCCACCTTCCATCATATTAGGAGTGAAGAAATTTCGAGAAGCCAATGCCTGAATTGCATTCAGTTCTTGCCCAGAAACCATGTTGGCTTGCTGAAGCCTCTCCACTTCTGCTATCTGTAAAACATTAAAAAAGAAAAACAAAATTGTTATGGGTAAAATAAATCTCAATCTACTAATAAACTACGAAGAAATCCGAGCTGAGAAAAGAAGCTTGTAACCAAGATCAAAGCGAACGCTTTCGAAAGACCTAAATGGGACAAGGCTTAGCTCGAAAGGAAGCTTCCTATATGAGGTGTTAAGAATTCTACTTTTCTTATCGTCAATTGGTTTTAAAATAGAATTCCATGAATATTAATATAGTATCAGAGTCTAAAACGCTCAAACGAGCATTCTGTCTAAAAACGGGATCCAACCAAGATCAATGAGTAAAAAACAACCACGATCACGAAGGGGCATGTTAAGGATACCACATTGAAAAGATAAGTGACCTAATAAAGATTTATAATAGATATGGATTATTCCTCTTATTGCTAATTGATTTTGAGATGGAATTCCATAAATATTGACATGAGATCGAGCCATACCAACCAAGTCCCTTGGACCATGGTACAACTCAAGAGCTAAGCCTACGGTCTAGTCCCTAGGTCAAGCCCATCAAGCATGACTCCAGCCCTCCAACTTGTTTCCTTCATTTCAGGAATGCCAAATATATGTATAGAAAGATATCTAGAAGGCCAGATTTTACTCCTCTATTAAACAGGAAGGATAAGTATCACCATACCAGCTAATAAGAGATTCGGCTTGCAAGCAATGGTCTAAATCATTTTGATTTTTAAGATCAAAACGCTCTAAGTTCAAGTTGAAGATAAGAAAAAGACCATTATAATATGGTCGATATGAGAATTTTGATATGTGTCTTCAAAAATAGGTGGTCTAAATTTAACACAAAGACGAGAAGTTAATCCTCTGTGATGTGTATGTACCTTGGTTCTAATACACACATTTTCATTCTCCAGCTCGATCTCCTAAAAAACACATAAATCAGGCTTAATATAGTTTTTATATAAATGAAATTAAAAAAATATATATATTAATGAACAATCTTATTTATAGAAATAAAATTATTAAGAAACAGAATATTGAAAGCTTAAATATAGATTACTCTTTTCTGCAGGTACTCAATTTCTGCTAGCAACATTTCATGCTGTTCAACATGAAAACAGAGAAGTATTAGATAATCTCTTTTCTCAAAATAATTCAGAGGAAAGTTGCTTCATAACCAAAAAAAAATAAAAAAAAATGGTTAACTAAAATACTTAGAAAACTATACTAAACACATTCTAAACGAGCAATTCTTCTAAAAGTATTGGTAAGGAAAAATGGTTTTGTTTAAAAAATTCTTTACTTTTTTAATCTTAAAGCCATCTGAAACACACTGTAAAGTACATGAATTCATCCAAACTCAAACAAACTAGAAGAGAACTTGTCAACACAACTACAAAACCAAGATGCTTTATAGTCCAACCCAATATCAGTCCATACATAACTACAAGTTTCTTAAAACCAACCATTCTCGAGGTATTGATTTCATTACTTATTTTAATCAAATTTTTTATTTAATAAAAGGTTTAAATATTATTTTAGTCTTTGCTTGTTTCTAATTTTTAGTCTATGTAGTTTCAAAACGTTCACTTTGATCCCTATACTTTCAATAATGTTTGTACATTTTAGTCTCCGTAGTTTCGAAACGTCCGTTTTAGTCCTTGTGCTCTTAAAAAGCAACCATTTTGGTCCTTTAATTTCACTTTCATCTCATCTCTTTGAATCATAATTTAGCATGAGACTTCACTTACTAAATTTCTTAAAATATAGTCATAAATTTGTCTTAAAATATTTCCACCGTGTAAGAAGGAGATTTTTTCGATAGTTTTTTAGAAAACCGTTGGGAGTATCCTTTCCCGACGGATTTTCACCGACTTTTTTCTGATGCAAATTTTTTCGTTGGGAAAAGTTGCCCTCGACCTTATCAAGGTTTTTCCCGACTTCTTTAAAGGTCAGAAAAAAATCTTATCTTTTGTAGTGAAATATTACTGATGAAGATAAAAATTGTCACTTTTTAAAAGATAGAGACCAAAAACAAATGTTATGAAAGTACAAGAATGAAATAAAGACAAGGTAAAAGTACAGGGACCAAAATAATCGAAACCTCGACAATTAAGAAGAAAAAAAATTGGGAAAGAAAATCGACCTTCTTTGATCTGATCCTAGTGATGCCTCTTTCAAGCCTATTCTCAAGCTGCTTCAATTCCTTCACTGTAAGAGCACTCAAGGAGTCCCCCATCAAGTGCCTAACAAGATTGCTTCAACAAATGAGAGTAGCATATTGAAGCCACTTGAATATAAGAATCTTGGCTAAATATATAATTTCTACTCAATAATATTTCCTTCACTTTTCCAATTTCGTCCCTAAATTTTGAAAATTTTCAATTATGTATAGTCAATTTTTCTTACCATCACAAAATATTTAACAACGGTCGAAAAATTAAGGATGAAATTAAAAAATGACGTGAATATTAAAGATGAAATTATATATTTAGCCGAATAATATAAATGTAATTTATGGTCTTTAAAAAGTATCTCATAATAATAACCTGTTGGAATTCTGTAGCATTTGTATTTGTTGGCGCAGCTTTGCAGATTCTTGCTGATAATACTTCATTTTATTTCCATATCATATCAGATATAGCATATTAGTTTCATGAATATCAAAGAAATTTGAGTCAAAATTATCAAAGAGAAAAGTTCTAGGGCTATGAACCTGTTAATTTGTTACTTATTACTTTATATAGTACTTCGTTTGAGATATTTCGAATTTGGTCCCTTGATTTAGGCATGGTTTTCATTTGGTTCGTGTGGTTTATAAAAATTTCAATTTGTCCAATATAGTTTAGTTAAGCCTCACAAATATTCTTTATCATTAACCATTGATGTTTAATACGTTGTAACATGTTTTTTTATTTACGTGACAATGAGTTGATGTGTTATGAAATCGTGTAAACATACGAAACACAGGTGGGTTTTAAATGGGCAAAACTTAAAAGATGATTTAGAAACGATATTTGTGAGACTTGGACAAATCATAAAGATCAAATTGAAACGAAGTCCAAACCGTAGAAGAAAATTAAAACTTTTAAAATCACACGAACCAAATTCAACTTAAACTCAAGTTATGTAGTGAAAATTTATAATTTAACCAACAATTACATGGAACCACTTATATGAGTATAAAACTATCTTAGTATAATAAAAAATTTCATAAAAAGATTAAAAAAAATAATAATCAAAGTTTGGAAGTTAATAAGGAGAGAGAGAGAGAGAAACTGACTTGAGTATTGAGTTCAGTGACAGAGCTAGTAGCTGAGCTATCAGAACAAGCCTTCTTGTACCTCTCAATGGTAGTTTTGATGCTGCAAATAATCAAAACAACTTATCATTTTATCACCATTCATTAAGTTTAATTTGCTTACAATCTAAATTAGTTTAAGTTTAGAAGCTAACAATTAGATATGATATTGTATATATTTTGTAATTTTTCTTTTCGGAATGGATGCGACTTATGTTAATAGATCTATATAATTGGAGCTCGTTGCCACTGCAACATTCAAAAAGGATGTATATATTGTGTAATTGAAAAGTAGCATGCAAAACGTACAAAGAACATATAAATTTTGAGGGATAAAGTTCTATGAAAGAAATTACTTTTGGAGCGTAGAAAAGGATGAGTGGAGATTTCGAAACTCTTATCTTTAAATATATAGGTTACACAAATCTCTCGTTAGGGTCCTTTACCTAAAACATATATATCTCCTACAAGTTCTCAAAGGGCTACATGCTAAAAGTGAAACTAACAAAATCAGTTGACCTAATAGGTCTGAGTCACATACGTTTCAAGTGGTACAATTTTTAAGATTAGACAGTTTGGGAAAATTTGCTCGGTTTTGTTGATTAAGTTTGGCCTTCTAAATTTTGTTACAAAATGTTGGGAACTTAACACAGTTATCTCGTGAGATTAGTCACACACTCGATTAACTCATTTTAAAAGGCAATAAAAATGGCCTTGGCTAGTAGCATAAAAGGAGTTAAAATGGGTTGAAAAGAGATGGGAAAGAGGGGCTTAAATTAAAAGGCAACAAAATAGGAACAAGATTTTGTTGATGGCAAAGGGCACTGCAAAATCATTTCCAATTATTGCCTAACATATGAATGGTCAGATCCTTGAATGTCATAAAAAACAATGATGAAATTACAGAACAGAAATCAGAATAGTACAGTCTAATTAATTTCTTTATTTTTTAATAACTAATGACCAACTTGTTGAATCCAAGAATAATTAACAAATATTCACCAAAGAATAATTTCTTTATTCCTCATGGCATATGATCAATTTACTAAATTCATTTTTTTACTCCATCAAAACTGGTTTTAGACTAACAAAAAATTTAAAAAAATTAAAAAAATGGCAGGCTTACCATGATTGACTAAAATTCATTCTATCCAAATTACTTTTAATTTAGCATATTTCGAACCAAATATAACTAAACAAGGTGTTTTCAATTTTTTAGAAATGTTAATGTCATTTGATAATATTCATACTTCTTGTTTATTATTTTTTTTGAATAAAGAAAAATATAATTATTTTTCTATTCTTGTTATTTTAAATTTTAAATTAATAAATAAAATTTTTATATGAAAATTATTTTATCAAATTAAATATTCTAAAATTTATGTTATACTTATTTATTGATATTTATTAAGAATTTTATAAGTTAAAAATGATAAAATAATGTTTTTACCTACGTTTTCGAAAAAATAAGAAGTTTGATTTTGTTGTTTCTAAAATTTATACACAATTTGAAAACGTTTATTAAAAATGAGAAACGAGAAACATGAACCATTACCAAACACTTCTATTTCTCAAAAATAAAAAATGAGAAACAAAACAACAAAAAACAATAACGTTACCAAACGGGTCCTAAAGATGTTTGATAATCGTTATATGTTTGTAGCTTATTTTTATTTTGTAGAAAAATTCCCTCTTCCATTTCCAAATTTTCAAAATCATTAAGACAAATGATCATTTTCATCCATTTTTTACTTACAAAAAAAAAAATTGAAAAACCAAGATCAAAATGGGTTATCAAGCATGTCCTTATTTCTTTTTCTTTTTTTCGAGAAACAAGAAAGAAACAATTATCAAAACACAATTTTGTTTTCCTTTCCGAATACAAGAAACAACCCTGTTATAAAAAACGAGCCCTAACTAATCCGAATCAAGTAGATCTTTCTACCCTATATCTTGAGGTAAGGTTGCCAAAGTCCAAGTGAAAGATTTTATAGGAAGACAAAAGAAAAATTGGGTAATTTTTTTATGAGATAACTGGTAGTATTACATAATATGGCTTACTCTGTAGTGTTGCTCATTTTTCTGCAACCAAAACAACTGCGCATAAATCTCCATGTCAGCAGCTTCATTTTGTTTTTGACATGAGAATAGCAACACAAATGGCCATGGTAGCAGTGGCCTTTGTTTTTAAAGAGATGAAGCAGCAGAAGAAAAATTGTGGGGTTTTGAAACAAAATCAAGAGCTTAAAATGGAAAGGAAAAATAAAATAAAAGAGAAAGCTTTTTTCTTTTCTTTTTTGGCATTCATTGTGTGGAGATTTGTGTTGGGATATTTATCACTAAGAGGAAAAACATAAAGCTGAGGAAAAATGGATATATGCAGAGAGAGTTCTGAAAATCCTAAAATTTAATGCTTTGCCGTCAGAGATCAAACTCTTGGTTTTCTTAAGATCAACTTCTCCTTAATTCAAAATTTCAGCCTTTTTATTTTATTTTGTTCACAAAAGTTTGTACCATATTTTATATCTCATGACTCAAAAGTGAATGAAATTAATTTTATGTTTATATGAGCGGTTTTGACAAAAAGAATGTCGTGTGATTTTTAGAGCGATCTAGGAAGACCAATGTTATTGAACACGAACTGATCAATTAGAACATGTTTTGGGAGCGATCGTACAATGAGTTATTTTTTAAAAAAGAGATTCAAGTACAATTGATTTATGTTCAGTTTGAAGGGATTATTTTTATATAATTAAAGAAGTAATTTTCAATCGTTAAACAAAAATGATCTATCAACTGATACTTCAAAAATCATTCAAAAATTATTTTAGATTTTGCAAAATAATTTTTTATCCCTTCAACGAACATGTGATTTTCGCAATTTTAAATCATTCCTGAAAACATATACCCTTAAATGTGTTTGGCATGTCTTTTTAGTTAAATGCTTCTTCTAAAAGCATTTTAAGCTTATTTTTCTCTTTTGAATTTCTCAAAATATTTTAAAAGGAGCTTATAAGATAAAAGCACTTTCAACTACCTACAATTTTAACCAAAGGCATTCCAAAACACACCCTTAGAACATATCCGATAGCTTATACTCGATCGATAATAGTCTTTTCGACTTATTTGAAAACGTTAAGGTTATTTGTTCCTATTCACAAGCCTAAAATCATTTTTAGTGAAACAAAATGACTTCCAATTGTTTTAAAAAGAAGAAAAGCTCATGAAAACAAAAGAGGAGGAAGATAAAAGAAAGCAAAAAGATCTCAATCTTAACCAATACAAAAACCAAACATGTTTTCAAACAAAAAAAGAAGGTTTGTAAAATCAAAATTGATGAGGAAAAGATCGAGTGGAATGGATTAAATGAAAGACAACTCAAAAGTGGAGGCTGTGACAGACAATCAGATTCTTAAAGAACAAAAAAACAACAGAAAAAGAAACCAAACACAGACAAAGGAAACATTCTTGGAAATTACCAACCTCAGAAGTTCAGATCATACACAGAAAAAGGGTCAAAACAATGAGAGAGGGAGAGAGACATGGAAACATGAAACACCTCAATGAGTTCTATGTAATTTTTCCAAATATTTCCATTGTACCATAAAAAAATGCCGAACATAAATATAAAAATGTTAATAAAATATCACTCACATAAAACATTAATATTAACTATAATAATGATCTTTAAAGTGGGAAATTCTTATTTATTGGTTTTCACGATTCTTTTTTATTTCAACACCATGTACCGGTCAAGATTCGAACTTCCGACATTTTGGTTGATGATATATGTTTTTATGATTTTTTTAAAAAAATATTCATTGATATTTTCCATTGAACTTGATTTTTTTGATACATAATGCTTAGCTAGAAGCTCTTTTTTTGATATGGAGACATAGAGGCTCCATGTGAACTTGATTTTTGTTTCTAAAAATTAATTTTATTTATCAACAAATTCTTTATTCAATTATTTCTTTTTCATTTTCAAAACACTTTTGAAATCTTCAAATTTAAGTAAAAAAAAATATTATCAAAAACCTAAAGCCGAGCTAAAATTGTAAAAATGTTTTGAAGTTGTAGATTACCAAAGCATGACAAAAGAATTGCAAACAAATACAATAAGATTTTCAAAAAAGAGAAAACAAAAAACAAAATTGTCAGCTTGGTTTTAATTTTTGGTTTTAGAACTTGTCATTTTTATTTCTAGTGTTTTTTTTTTTTTGAAAAAATAACCATCTAGATTTCAAGAACTAAAAATAATATTAAAAATCTACCTTATGTATTTATTAACCTTGCAAACCTTGCATTGGACTTTCAAATAGTAAAAAATTTGTATAGCTTAACCGATTAAGACATTATAGATTTCTATAAATCTTGAATCTCAAATCTCCAACCCGTGGTATATTTGGACTTAAAATAAAAAGGAAAAAAATAAGCTTTTTATCTAAAAAAATATAGAAAACTGAACTTTTTGAAACTCATTCTAACATCATTTGTGTGTCCTACTATTCCAGAAAAATCTAGGAGTAAACAAAGAGTGATTGAAGGATACCCTGAGTTATAACCCTAGAAATGATTAAGGAAACATTGAGTTTGATATGGAAAAAACTGTTGTGTGTTTTTTCCTTTTCAATGTATATAAACAGTTCTTTCACTATTGAAAGAAGATAAAAAAAGAACATGTTTATAGCAAATTTTGATCAACACAGCCCAAGCCTCTCAAATCTAGCTATAGAAGGAAGCCAAACACTGAATCTCTTTCCAATATGGAAATAGGACTTTTACTAGAGATATGGTCTCCTTCGACCGAGCAAACATTTCGACAGTGGGATTTTTTTAGGAGGCTAGAGTTTGAATCTTCGACCTATGAAAAATTTTATATTAAAAGCGGTATGACTACAACTTTCATAAATATGTAACGTCCCGTTTGATAACCATTTCATTTCTGTTTCGTGTGTTTAAAAAATTCAGCTTAGAAATATTATGGCTTTCACTTGTGTGTTCATTTGTTTTGTTATAGAGTCATTTTTTAAAACATTTATAAAATATATGTAAAATTTTGAAAAAAAAAAAAAAGAAGAAGCAGTTTTCGAAAACTCTTTTTTTTTAATTTAGGGTAAGAATTGAAATATGTTTTCAAAAAAGGTGAAAAACTAGCTAGTGAAATTGTAAAAAACAAACCTATTTTTTAAAAATAGAAAATGAAAAGCAAAATAGTTATCAAACGAAATAATTCAACAACTCCTAGCGAGAGGAAAAAAAAAAATTTAAGGAGTGACCACTACAACGACAGCGCCTTCCGACACCCATAATCGTTGGACGTAGATTTAAAAACACATTTTTTTTATCTCTCCACCCATACATCTAAAATCAATAAGAGTACTATCAGCCACATTCTACAGCAACCAAAAAAAAATCTCAAGAAAAAATACATAGGAAAGTAAAAAAAATAAAAAGAAAAAGACTAAATTTTGTTCTAAAAATGTTTGACACAATATTTCATGCATTTATTTCGAAACCCAATTGCAATAATTAGAAGAAAATGAAGGTAATTTCCATAATATGGATTATATAACTCAAATTTCAAACAAAGGGCAGGAGTAGGGACGAAGAAGAACAACAAAGAGCTCAACTCTAGAGAGATTATTATACTTTAACCGGTTGAGCTACGCTCAGACCAACATTAATATTTTACCGAGTTGAGTTACGACGAGAGAGCTCTAGATGCATGATCTATTTAAAGCCATTTAGTTAAAGTTAAAATTGGAACAGTGAAGCAACAAAAAGATCATCATTATAAGGCAAGAACATAAAAGAAAATTTGTTGTTCTTAACCTGTTATTGGAGTATTCATAGAGGCGACCACGGCTGGAGAAGACGATGAGGGCAACTTCAGCATCACAAAGAACAGACAGTTCATAAGCTTTCTTCAGCAGTCCATTCCTCCTCTTGCAGAACGTCACCTGCCGATTTGTCGTGTTCTCGATCCGCTTAATCTCGATCTTCCCTCTCCCCATCTTCCACCCTCTTTAATTCCCTGAAAACCCCACCACCAGATCCATATAAAAAAAATTACTCTAACAACCGAAGTTTCGAAATATAGCTCACGTGTAGAATCATCAGCCACGTTGTTCCAGCTCCTCGAGACGAGAAACGCAGAGGAGAGGGAAATGGGTACCCAAAAAAGAGAAAAAGGAAGAAAATTTTGTTGTGTGGAGAGCAGATCTAAGAGAGAGAGAGAAGGAAAGTGAAGGATATACAGACCTTGGAGAAGGGTTTGAAGTTTTGAGGTTTGGGAAAAATTTTTGCAATGGAAAACAAACTCAAAAGCTTGTTTAGTTTGGCTACCAAAAATTATATAGAATACAAAGTGATGGGGGTTTCTCTCTCTTATTTATGTGTTTTCTCTCTCTAGAAGTGGGAGAAAGGGCAATGGGGGAAATGGGTTTTGCCGGAAACTGATAGAAGACGTTGCAGTTATGGCTGAATCAAAACATCTCTGCACCTCCAAATTCCCACCAAAACCAGTAAACTTTCTCTACTTTTTCCTTCCCCTTTCCAAATTACCTTTTTGCCCCTTTCAGAATCTGTTCTTAATTCAGTTTTACCTCTCTCAAATAATTTTGATTTGATTAACACCCCCTCGTAATTGTGTTCTTGGTTTTCTTTTCATGGCCTGTTAAACTTGTATGAATTGTATTTCTCTTTCTTGTTGTTAGTATGGGGTTCTTTTGTTTGGATAGTTTTTTGAGAATTACATATAAGGAATTTATAGGGTTATGATTATTTGTATCAACACCGAACATATTTTTCAGGCACACTGCTCCCCACCTAACCATGAAACTTAATTAGGAGCGGTTTGTTTTTCGAAAATCTAGATAGCTGACATCTTCAGATACTATAAATATTAGATATTTGAAATTATAGATGTCTGATGTAATTAGATATCTAGTAATATTTGTTTTACACAATAAATATATTTGTAAGGATATTCATGAGGACACCAAATATATTTTCAGTCACGGTTGTTCCCCACCTAAAATGCAATACCTCATTAGGGGCCATTTAATTTTTGGAAATCTAGATAGTTGGCAATATCAAGAATATATTTGAACTCATATAATAATTTTATTTTTTTTATTTAATATCATATTTTTATGTCGATTCAGTTAATGTTGGATGACTATTGAAACAATAAAATAAATGAAAGATTATATAGTAAGATTTCAAACAAAACACATAAATTTGGATGCCTGTAATCCTATTCCGTGGGAATCAAACACGACACAAACGATCTGTTAAAATGTTATCGAACAATACAAAGTTTCTATCCCATGAGACTCTCGAAAAGGACGGTGAATTTTATTGACATAGATAATTATACCTATGAGCGATCATTCCCTACTCTCGTGTGCCCAAAATGTCACAAAAGACACAAACATATATATAGAGAAGAGAGAAGTTCAAGTCATAGTATAGATTTGAAGAAACAAATAGCAAAGATTGGAGAGATTTCATCCATTTTTATTTTTGGGTTTATAGTAATCTTTCTAAGATAATAATTGAGAGACTTGTGATTGACTCAATAAAGGAAAAGATTCCATACACAACAAAAGGAAAAGAAAATCTGTTCAGTTGTTAATTTTCTTTGCTTCCATATATGATTGAGCTATATGGGTTCAGTTGCTAAGTCAACATACATAAATCTTTTCCAATTTAAATTTTAAACCCATGCCAATATAACAAAATTTTCTCAACATATAATTTTATATTCTGGATTATTATAAACGCTATTCAATAAATCTATAAATATTCCTATTCAAAACTTTTAGAGACGTGCCAAAGGGAGCATAACTCAGTGTTAATTGACATATATCTTAAACCAAAAAGTTGTAAATTCGATCTCCCACCCTCACATGTTATACTAAAAAAGAATCTTGGAAGATGTTTATTTCATCGAACCCTGAGATTTTCCAAATTCTAATTGTATTTTTATAAAAATATTGAATACTCGGACATTTTTAGATGTCTGGACATCCTAGAATGATCATAGGAAAGAAATTTTGGAGGCTCTCTTACGACATGAGAATTCCAACGTTGCAATGATTCATTTTTATTCAGACATCTATAATTCTAGATATTTAATATTCTGGACATCTCAAAGATTTACCTAAATTCTCTAGATTCTCAGAAAACTAATTTCGTGCTTTTTTTTCCCTTTATTTTTAATGTAGAAAACCTTGTTTTAAAGACCATTTTTTGAATTTTTTATTATTCATTTATTTATTTTTAGCATAAAAAGCATCTGTGAAAAGAAAACGAGTAGTATTTTATCGCTTCCATGTATTTTTTTAAAATTAATTGTTCATATATGTAAAGTAAAGAATAAATACAAAAATAAAAGATGTCTTTGTCCATGGGGGTGTTCACAGGTTGGATTGGGTCGGGTTAGGAGTATTTTTGGGACCAACCCGAATTTTCGGGTTGACCATATGTAGGAACCAATGGGTCTAAAATCGATAGCTAACCCAACCCAACCCAACCCAAAATTTTCGGGTTGGGTCAGGTTGGGTTGTCGGGTTCTTATTTATTTTTTTTTCATATATTTTTCTAACCTCAAAGTTACAAAACGACTCACGTAGAAGAATCAAAATCTCATAAATGAGAGAAGAAGGCTGGCAACGACGACGAGCTAGGACGGCGACGGCGACATGAGCTCCGAAGGCAGGCGGCGACGGAAGCTGCGAAGGACTACGACAATGGGAAGCTTGAGTGAGGGAAGGAAATGGAGGAGAGAGATTTGAGAGAGGAAAGAAAATGGAGGAAAGAAGCTTAAGAGAGAGAAGAAAATTGAGGAAAGAGGCTTGAGAGAAAGGAGGAGGGAAAGTGAGATTGAAAAAATGAAAAAACCCTAGCCTAAATGAATGGCTAGGATTAAAACTAATGGAGGGTTGAGATTAAAGAAAAAAAATATTTATATATTTATAAAGATATTATTATATTATTTATAATTAAAAAAACATATATATATATGCATAAATTTGGGTTGGGTTAGGTTGACCCGAATTTTTAAGGGTTGAACCCGAGACCCAACCCAACCCGACCCGAATCATCTCAAGTAATTATAAATTAAAAAATAATACAAATTGATTTTAAATTTTGAAATATATATTAAAAAAATGCATTCAAACAAATTAATATATGGGGCACTTGCAAATATGACAAGAAATTTTAGTAAGATAAGCAAAATAGCAACCCCATTTAGTTTTTTCAAATATAGCATTTTTTTTCGGAAAAAACGAAGGTCCAATTATAAAATTACAAATTCACCTTTTAATATATCTGATATATATCTGACCACTACTATATATCTATGATATATCACTGATATAATAATATGATATACAATTGATTTACTTCTGATATAACCATGATATCTACTCAACTTCTAACATGTCTTACCACTAATATACGTATGATAATAATTGATTTGCCACGTTGATACAACACATATATATGTGATATGTATCTAATTTACTATTGATATAGAAATGATATACCATTAATATAACTATGGTATCTACTGATATATAACTTCTTATATGATTATATGATTTACCACTAATATAGTACTGATATATATTTGATATATACTCAATATACTTCCAATTTACCACTTATATACCTCTGATATAACCATTATATCTACTAATATAACTATGATACATGTGTGTTGATATAATATTATTATATCCAATATTTTTATGAAAACAATGGTGCAAAATTTTTTAATTTTTTATTTTTGAAATATAAAGTTATTATATAAAAGGTTTACGTGGACCATGCACGTCCAAAAAGACAAGTTAAAATTTTGATATACTTTATAAATTTAAACAGTTGATATTCCTTATATTTAGTATCTAATTAATATTAATATTGAATAAATAGTAGTGATACAGTAATCAACATTATTGATAATATTAGTATATTAATCAACAAATTGAAATGGTGAACTAGAGTTTAAACACTTGATATACCACTAAAAAGTAAGCATTTGATATAACTTATATTTAGTATATCAGTTGGAAATATATTTAGTATATCATAAATTAGAAGTACATCAGATATATATATTATATGTATAATACGTACATTTGATATATATTAGTGGTATATCTGATAATGTATATCGTGGGTACATATGATACTGTTTATCAATGGTACATCGAATATATATCGGAAGTATATTAGAGTTACATTAGATGTAAGTTAGATATAGATTGGATGTATATTATATATAAATTTACATCGGATGTATATCAGATATATAGATTTGATGTATGATATACATCAGATGTGTAGGATTTAATTAAAATCCAGAAATTCAAATTCATTTTAAATTTGAAAATAAGGGAGCACTTATGTAACTGCTCTCAACTCCCTCCTCAGTGTGTGTGAGTCATTCGTGATAATTTTCTGGAAAACAAAGCAGGAAAGCCGTCTTTGTTTGAGATGAAAAAAAAAGGAGGTAAATTCACTCTATTTATCTTATCAGTTATATATTAACTAACTCTTTTTATGGTCGAACGACGGGAATTGAACCCGCGCATGGTGGATTCACAATCCACTACCTTGATCCGCTTGGCTACATCCGCCCCCTACCCTATACTATACTATGATAAGTAGAAATTAAAAAAAAACTTATGTAAACTTTATTCATCATAAAGGAGCAATATTGTCTCAAAATACTTCACCACTTCAAGAATTCAGGCGGTGAATCGTGAGATCTTTCCATTCGTGATTGATGCCCGACCGTGACTTGGTTTTCGTGGATTCCACTGCGACGCTACAAGAGGTTAGTATCCTATCAAGATATATGTCAGATATAAATTGGATGTATATCAGATATAGATATACATCAGATATATATCAGATATCATAAGGGTAAAATTAGAATAATAAAAATTCCGAAAATAAAAATTCAAATATTTTGCTATATTTGAAATTTTGAAAAGCTGGTGACATTTTTTGAAATACATAAAATATTTTTGCTACCTACTACAATACAATTACCCTTAATATATATTAGTTCAATGTAATTATTAATTTCTTAGTTACTTGTATTAAATTTTTATCAGTAGGTCGACATATGTCCATCGATATTTTCATATGTTCATGGATTCAACATCAACATAAGGAGTCAATCGACATTTTATAATATCTCAAAAATATTAACAAAATATCACTAGTATAGATATAATATTAATATTAATATGTTTTAATTTATGGGGACAATGCGCATACCCCAGATATAGGGGCATAAAGGCAAAAGGGTTGCCGACTCTAGCGCAATAAAAAAAAAAGAAAATA